TCCTTCCTTCCTTCCTTCCTTCCTTCCATCTTACATTTTCCTTCCATCTCTTATTCTTTTCCTTCCTCCCTCCCTCCCTCCTTCCCTCCCTTTTATATCCTGTTTTTTCATTATTTTTACAAATAACTCAAGATGACCAACATATCCAACACAACTTCCTCCTCCTGTTTTCACAACCCTGTGAGGGAGGGAGGGAGGTTGGGCTGAGAGAGAAAGACTGGCCCAATGTCACCTAGCTGGCGTTCATGCCTAACGCAAGACTAGAACTCCCATATTCCTGTTCATTGGGCCAAAGTCACCCTCCTGTCTTTCATGCCTAAGACAGGCTAGAACTCCCAGTCGCCTGGAGATTGGCCGAAAGTCACCCATCTGGCTTTCATAACTAAGGTGGGAGTAGAACTCAGAGTCTCTATTATTTTTAGCCTGGGGTCTTGATCACTAGACCAAACTGTTTCCATGATAGATTTCAAAGGATATTAATATTATATAGGGAGATTACTCTATCTCAAACACGTTTATCCAATTCTTGGTCTCCGTATCCACTCACCTCTCTTTCCTTCCCTCCACAGGTATGGCTGGCTACACGAAACCTCCCAGTTTGCTGACTCCCTATGGCCGGAATGCCTCCTTTCCCGAATATCCTTGGAATTTTAACCCTTACCTGTCCAGCACTTTCCCTCTGAACAGCTCCAAGCTGCCCACCTCTCTCTATTCCCCTCATTTCTACCCCAACCCTTTGTCTGGCTCGCTGGCCCAGCTTCCCACGCCCATCTCCCTCCTGACCAACGAAAACCCCGAGAGAACAACAGCCCTGGCGGGTAGCTCCGTGCCCAGGCTCTGCCTCCCGACCCACAGCACCACTCTGCCCCTCCGCGGGGATGCCCACGCACCCAGCACTCGCGCTAAGGAATTGCTAGGCACCAGGCCGCCCAGTCCTTCCGGAGGCCGAGGGGCTAAGGAGGACCCGGCGTCCGATTCCGAGTTGGAAATCACAGATTTGAGTGAATGCAGTTCGGAAAACGAAGGCTGCGATTTTAGCCCCGACAGTTTGGAGACGTTAGAGAGCCAGGTGCCAAATTTCAAACGGTTGGAGAGCAAGCGGGCAGCCAGGGGAAGGCCCGGTCAGCTAGATGGGGAGGTGGGAGTCAGCCTGGGTCTTATCAAGCAAGGGAAGGCTCTTGCAAGCAGTTGAAAGCGAGCCCCGAGGTCTCTGGTGTCGTCCCCCCTTACCCCAAATTCGAAACCAAGGTTAAAGGAAACAAGGTTAAAGCCCACCCCTTCTGTGTCCACTCGATGTCTATTTTTATAGGAAAGTTCTATTCAAGGAATATACTGCGTCTAACCCCCCCACCCCCCCAACCCATACAAACACCCCTTCTCCAGGCCTTCAGAGGGGACTGGAATTCTCTCCCTGCTCAAAATGACCCACGATGCTCCAGACTGGGGCTGGAGGATGGTGGTGGTTGAAGAGAGATCCCCAGATCCCACCTGGCTGGTGGACCGATCGAGAGTTTCCTGGTCACACCTTTCCTGCTCCCCCTCCCCAAATTTATTTCCTCCGAGAGGCTGCTCGGAGTTCAAAAGCCCTGTTGCCACCACTGTCCGTCCATCCGTTCCCAGATCTTGTCCACAACTGAACTCCCTGTTCATGGATTGGCTAGTTCCACAACAGTCAAAAAGAAGAAGATCCCAATTCAAGGGGGAAAAAATCCCTATCTCAAAGGTAAAAATGTGCAATAGCTTCTTCTTTTCTTAAAAAAAGAAGGCCATGGAGACTTGTAGCGAGAATCCGTTCACTTGATGCTGGTGGCCGAGAGAAACACCCCCAAAGTTTCTCTACCTTCATCCAACTTCATCCCCCAAATCAGGCATTCACCAGAGATGAATCCAAGGTCCTTCCAGGACCTTTTTCCAACCAACCTCCTTTATTTAAAAGGCAATGCCTTTTAGCTGCCATAGACTTTAACCCGTCTCTCCTCTTGAATTCACTGAAATTTCTCCTAGGCTTCTTGGACAAACAGGAAGCGCAGGAGAATTTTCTGGCCAAAGTCCAATCTTGGGGTGGCTTAACTCCCTTCTCCTCCCTCGCAGGTAGCTTTAACAGTCATTTAAGAAAGGCAACTGTTCCCTTGGTGACCCAGCAGAAGCTTAAAGGCTGCCCTGTTTTGAAAATTTGTACGAAAATGTGTAAGCAGGAAACCCAACAATTGCAGCCAATTTAAATCGTGCGCCACAGCTGATCGTCGGAAATACCGATTCACCCGAACCTCTAGCATTTCACCCCTGAACGAAAGGTTGTTGTAAATTGAGGATTATCTCTGTGGGCACCCAGATTATCTCTGCTGGGTATCATTGTTCTTTACATTTTACATTTTTTGGAGCGCAACTAAATAGGAAACATACCTCTTTGGGTAACATCTGGAGATGATATGGAATGAGTCCTCCCCCCCAGCTTGGTTAATGGCTAGGAACAGCTGGCTAATCCAGCTGCACTTCAAAATTAGGAGATGCTGGAATTTGTGGAAGAGAGGGACGGTGGATTTGCTTAATTTCACAACCCCATCCTGAACTTTTTGAAGTGCAATATCGTCTTGTCTACTCTGGTGTGACCTTTTCTGTAAAAACATGCTCACCCCCAACCCATCTCCCCGCTTTCTCCAAAAGTGAGCCAACACAATTTTCACCCCCCTCCCCCGCCCCCATCGCTGTGCTTTTGTGTGACTCCGTGTTTTAAACAAGAGAAACGAAACTGTACTTGTGTGGTGGATATGAAGAAGTTGTTCAAAAGTCCCGTTCCTCTTTTTTTTTTTCCCCTCTCCCTCCCTTTCTTGTAAATATCGCATTAATTTATGGAGTGTAAAAAAAGGAAAAAGAAAAAAGAGATGGAAAATTTTACACCAGCTGCTCCCGCTGGCCTCAAAAGCAATAAAATATCTATTCGCTGCATCTCTACTCACAGGTGAAAGGCAGGATAGATGTGTGTGTGCGTGAGAGAGAGGGAGGGAGGGAGGGAGGGAAAGAGAGAGAGGGAGGGAAAGAGGGAGAGAGAGAGAGAGAGAGAGAGAGAGAGAGAGAGACTGTCTCAAAGGAGTATATTTCTTTCTCTAAAGAGCAAATGAAGAAATCAACAACACAGCATCAGAAGAGAAGTCCCATTCAATTCAATGGCACCGATTTTCCAAAAGGTACCATTTTAAGACACCTGGGCCTCAACGCACACACAGCCCCAGAATTTTAGCACTGCAATTGGTCTTGGGTTGAGCTCATTAGCAGAATAATAATTTAAAATTTAACCTTTTGAGAGTTAATGGGAGGAATCTTAATTTTACCAAAGGATGGAGCGATTCGAGCTGCATCTCGTTCTTCTGAAATAGAACTCCAAGCTGCTTGGACAATTTTGTTTCATTTTACCCAAAGAATCCTGGGAAATGTAATTACGGGAGTTGCTGAAAAGTTAATATTAAGGACCAGAAGCAGAGGTTGCTTTTCTCTTCTTCCTCCTCCTCCTGCTTTTTTCCTTCTTTCTGCTTTCTCCTCTTCCTCCCTCTCCTGTCTCTTT